TATTAAATTGCACTGTACTTTCTTAATTATTGACATTTTTAAAGATATAAGCTCATCCCGATGTTAAACTCATCGAGGACTTTCATTTGAGTACCCACATGCATTTTTATATATTTTTCATATATACATATATATAAATATATAAATCTATGAAAAATTGATGTGGGTACTCAATTGAAAGGGCTTAATGAGTGTAACATCGAGGTGAGCTTATATCTTTAAAAATGTCAGTAGTTCACAAGATACAAGGATTTTATCATATGAGTATCCTGTACGAAAAATTTTTTTATTCTCTCAATAATATAGATTGTAATTAACTACCGATATTTTATAAATGATTGTAATGATAATTTTAAAAAATTTAAAGCGTATTTCAAGCGCGGTGACTACAACATAATAATCGTCGACTACGGATCATTAGTCCGCGAGCCATGTCTGTCGCAAATGCAGTGGGGACCGGATTTCTGTTCACAATGTATTGCTCAGTTAGTGAGGTACTTGAGGGACCACCCTCGTGGGATACCGGCCGCGAGTATCCACATGCTGGGCTACAGCGTTGGTGCTCACATAGCCGGCTTGGTGGCGAATCACTTGCCCGATGACAAGCTGGGACGGATTACTGGTAATTAATCTCCTCTCAATCCCCTCTTTGCCCTCAATATCGACAGTTGCCTCCCAAAAATGCCACAAGTTCACGCTGACGAATTTAGAAACGGCTTTCAGGTCTAGATCCGACGATATTTTTTTACATGAACGGAAACCGTTCGAGGGATTTGGACGAAACGGATGCTCACTTTGTCGACATCATTCACACCGGTGCCGGGATTCTGGGCCAGTGGGGCCCAAACGGGCACGCGGATTTTTATGTAAATGGTGGTTCCAGTCAACCTGGATGTGCGACTGCTTCTATTTTACGTAATTTTGCTTCTTCTTTTACTTTATTTTCTTCATAAAAATTAGACAATTAAATTTTTTTTTAATTAAAAATTACAGAAACTCTGGCGTGCGATCACACAAAAGTAACGCCGTACTATATCGAATCAATAACAACGAAGGTGGGATTTTGGGCAGCACCATGTGCAAATTTATTTTCCTATCTGACAGGATGGTGCAGCCCAAAAGACGAAGAATGGCTTCTTATGGGAGAGGATACTCCGCACACGTTAGTTTTTATAAAAAATTATTTTTTTTTTTTTAATTAAATGATCAATTTAATTACAAGATAAAAATTTTTGCACAGCGCTCGAGGAATTTATTATCTGTCAACAAACGCACGCAAACCGTACGCCCGAGGACATCCAGGAAAAAGGCAATTCCCGAAAAATCGGAAGCAATTGTCTTACCGCCAGTATTAAGTCTGCTTAAGCAATTAATCAACATTATCATAGAATAATTAGTTATAAATTATATTTTATTTTATACATTATTATTGTAGATATACATTAAGTAGTATAGATTTTTATGTATGGTTCATTATTAATATATCAATTATAATTAATTTTTGTACTTTTATTGTGGATTATTAAGTAGGTGTCTAGTATGTAATAGTTATAGACGATAATTTATCGATATTGAATAATTTTCTATTGTAATAAAATAAAGTTAACATAAAAAAGTAAATTTGAATTTAACTCTCATAATGATACTGAAAATTTATTTTTTATATTATTTGTGTTTTTAAAGATACAAGTTCATCCCGATGTTATACTCATCGAGACCTTTCATTTGAGTACCCACATGGTATTTTTTATATATTTTATATATATAGTATTTGTGAAATATATAAATATATGAAAAATTGATGTGGGTACTCAAATGAAAGGTCTCGATGAGTGTAATGCCGAGGTGAGCTTATATCTTTAAAAATGTCAATAGTTCATAACATACAAGGTCATTTCTTAATTATTGACGTTTTTAAAGATATAAGCTCATCCCGATGTTATACTCATCGAGACCTTTTATTTGAGTACCCACATGGCATTTTTCATATATTTTATATATATATATGGTATTTGTGAAATATATAAAATATATGAAAAATTGATGTGGGTACTCAAATGAAAGGTCTCGATGAGTATAATGTCGGGATGAGCTTATATCTTTAAAAATGTCAATAGATCACTTATCATATAAATAAACTGACCACAAAATTTTGCTTATTCTCTTAATAATATAGATTACATTTGTTTTAACCAAAGGTTATAACCATTAAACATGTTCAATGCCGCAAAGAGGGCTTCTTTTAATGACTATCATACGATTTTTCATGTGCTTCGTAATTTTTCGACCATCGCTTAAATACAATACTCTTAGCCTATTTTTTCCATAAAATATCTCCAGTTTTTCATCTTCAACCACTATTTTGTTCTTATCAACAAGACTCAATTTAAAGAAATATCTATCAGAGAAAATACATGTTTCAAAAATAAAGCTAAGAATGCTACAAATCATTCCTATAGCCCAACAGAAAAATACGAATGATAGTGAATCAAAAGAAATTTGTTGATAACTTAATACGTATCTCGATGTCTGTAAATTAGATTTAATTCTCAAGTGAGAAGGTGTACCGTCAAGTAATTTTCTATTGATTCCAAAACTCTCCAAATGCATGAGGAATATATCAAATTTTTCTCTTAGCGGCCAATCGCGACGAGCGCAATACGCAAAATTGTCACCGTCTATTGGATATTTAGACACATAGAAATTTTGCAGCTGAATTGTGGAATTAATTTTGGCTTTTAGTTCAGACATTAAACGATGATCACCTATCAGACATGCGCTTGAGTCGTCTTTAATAACTGTCTCTACACAGTATGATTCATTTGAATCTATTACTTTGGACTGTATTGTTTCAAAATCTAGCTTATTCGATGATATGTATTCAACGATCAAAACTTTATTGTAATAATCACGTTGCAAGTCCGTTATTGAATTGGCATTTTGTCGTAGTTCGGTTTTCGAAAGAAATTCTGTTAGATCTCCTTGAAGGGTGCTTTGCATAACCAAAAAATACATAAATATTGGTGTAAAGAAAACCCGCAGTGGTTGAGATTTTACTTCGGTGTTAATCGAAAATCCAACCCACAAACGGAGGATTTCAACAATGGCAAATGAATAGCTTCTAAAGGAAGTCATGTTCAAAATTACCACATAAATTATGATTGACAGTACAAGTGTTATTATAATCATATTAATACCAAGAGAATTGTAATTTTTCTCTAAGGGAGAAAGGTATCTTTGATTTTTTGAAAAGATGTAATGGCCATTGATAGATATTGGATAGGTCGCTGTCAAATTGTCCAATTTTGCTATCGTCTCGTAATTTTGCAGGCACATTACGAAGTCAGTTGTCTTTTTTTGAGAACGATATTCTTCCAGCCTGGGATCGCAATCCCAAAGAATAATTTTAGTAAGAGAAGCATTAAAAAAAACCTCTATTGCTTTGGAGAGCTCATAGCTGTCACGAAATACAAAGTCTGTATTAGCTAAAATTTTTGTTGCGGTCTTATCATGTTGCTTAGTGCGATCAAAATTGAAACCATTGCATATTTCAGCTGTGAGTAATTAAAAATTTTAATGTAATTATTTTATTTTATGTAATTATACGTTCAGAAAATGATTCACTTTACCTTCATTGTAAGGTCGATTGTAAATTGCCATGTAAATTGATTTATTAGATATTTCTTCAACCATTCGCCATTGATAAGGAAATCGACTTGAGTACGGATTAAAAGTATAAACAAAAAGTTCTCCTTTAGAATCAAAACATACATAGTAACAATTTAGAATATTTTGCTGCCAAACCATTTTTAGAACACTTCTTGCGTCCTTACAGCCATTTTCTAAATTGCTCAATACAAAGTGAGGTATCATAATTTCCCATCGAAGAGAAGTTTTAAGATCAAGCAAAATTTGGTTGAGATTGTCAATTGAATTTTCAAGAGTGACAATAAATAAATCGACTTTGTTTTTCCGCAGAAAATTGAGTTCAGTTCTTGGTAAATCTTTTTGTAGAATCACGGTAATTTTTTCTAATCCACTTAAGCTTTTAATTATACTTTCACTTACATCTTTGTGAAGAGCAATTGTTTTATAATCTTTTTCACACGTTTGGAAAAAATGAATCTAAAAAAAAATTAAATAGATGTTTAATATTTTTAAGAAAAACCGGTCCTCCATAAAAAAAAATTAAAAAAATATATATAGCAAATACATTTTTAATAACTAACTTTTGGCCGATTTCCATATATATTTTATATATTTTAAATATATCTTAAAATACATAATTAGGCCAAAAGTTAGTTTTTAAAAATATATTTACGATACATATTTATATATTTTTTATGTATTTCGACATACATTTTTTTAAAAATTTTTTTTCATACAGGTAAATATCAATACTTAGGATGTAATTTCTCACCACAATGTTTAATAATATAAGTAATTTATGTTGAGCTGATTCTTTATTCATTTCCAACATCAATATAGTACAGCAATTATTAAACAAAAAAAAAAAACAATAATTATCTTTAGCTTTATATACTTTGTTAGTAATTTTTGGTTCTATAAATATTTTTTATTCATTAAGTCGATATTCTACGATAAGTGTTTTAGATATAATGCAAGCTTCAAAAATGAAACAAATAGCACTTAACGCTATACCAATTATCCAAAAATAAAAAGCAAAAAACAATGAATCTAAAGTAAGAGATTGAAAATTAAATTTAATAAATCGAGAAGTCTGTGAATTGTAAGTTATCTGAGACGGAACATTATCCATTATTTTGTCAGTGATTCCGTAACTTTCTAAGGACATAAGCCACCTATTGAACCTATCTTTCAATGGCCAATTTTGACGAATAGCATAAACGAAGGGATATGTCATGGGAAACTTAGAAAGATATAAATTTCTCAGATTTTCTACTGTTAAATTTTTTAATTGTAGCTGATGAGACAATGTCATGAAATCTACGACACATACGGTTGATTTATCCTTCAAAACTTCTTCAATGCATTTTAAATTATTTACATACTTATATCCCATGAACCAGTACTCTAAATCATTACCTGTATTTATGTCATTAGATATAAAAACTTTTTTGTCAGTATTATTAGACAATTTTTCTAGAGATACAATATTTGTGGACGATTCAGAAATTATCAGCCACTTTATATACTGTCCTTTAAAAATAGCTTGCAGAATAATGAGAAAGATAAATATTGAATAGAAAAGTCGGTGAATACTAAGAAAATTAATGTTTATCTTCAATGGGACTCCTATACACAAACGAATAAATTGTAATAAAGCGAATAAATAACTTCGAGGGAAGCTAGTGTAAAAAATAATAGAATAAATGATTACCGCGCTGATAAATAATAGCAAAATAATTGATAAATCAAAATTGATTCGAATTTTTCTGGTAATAGTTATATTACTTAAATTATTCGATAAAGCATAAGCTGCGTAAGAATTAATCGGATAGCTTTTAAAGTAAGGTAAATTTGTGATAGGCCGAAAACACTGTGTTATGTCACCCTGTTTCTCAATATTAAGGAAGCGTTTTGTTAAATAAATTTCTTTGCAATCGTCTAAATCATATGATATGGAGACGTTTAACACACCTCGCAATGCTTCTTTAATTATCAAGTGATAAGTATGAATTTGTCTAATTGGAGAGATTACATTTACAGTGGCTCGGTCAAGATATTTGGTTCGATCAAAAGTAAAGCCTTCGCAGACACTTTCTGTTGAAGAATAAATAAATATATTATTTGCTTGTAATTAATGATGTTAATAGAAATATTACTAAGATCGGTGATTTTAGTTATCAAAGAGAATTTATATTTAAGCCAACTTATCCGATCTACTTGATGGAGAACTCAATTTTTATTTATTAATTATTTTACCACAATATTGTCAGTATTAGCACTCATACCATCCTCGGGTGAATATATAATAATTAAAAATTATGATTTTTTTTAAGACAATTTTAATTAGGATTATATAAAGATTTTATTGTTTACTCAGTAAAATTTTTTTCGGTAACCGAAAAAATAATTCGGAACACTTAAATTAAACCGGGACTCGAACCTGGATCTTTTGGTTACGCACCAACTGCTCTACGTTTATCCTAATGAAAATTGTCTTAACTGTTTACTAGTTTTAAAAATTGTCTTAATTGTTTACTAGTTTCACTAAGTAAACAATTTGTATTAAAATCAAAAAATAAAAATTTTTAATTATTATATATTCACCCGAAGAATTGTTGTGGTGAAATAATTAATAAATAAAAATTGAATAGTCTCCAAAAAGTGGATCAGGTAAGTTGGCTTAAAAATAATAAATTCTCTTTAATAAATTGTAATCAATGTTAACCAATATATATGAGTATAATTGCCTTTTTTATACGGTCGGTTATAGATTGCCATATAGAAAGAATCATCAGTTATTTCTTGAACGGGTTTCCACTGATCAGTTGCTCGGTTCGAGTACGGATTGAATGTGTAAATAAACGGATTTTGTTCGGAGTCGATGCAAACAAAGTAACAATCGAGGATACTCATTTTCCAAAATGTTTTCAACACTATTTGCGCGTCCCCGCAACTATTTTTTGAACTACCGAGCACGAAATAAGGTACAGTAACGTTCCACCACAAAGATAATTGGAATTCTTGTAAGATTTCTTCAAGTTCATCAACAGATTTATCAATTGACACGAGAAATAAATCAACTTTTGTAGTTTTGAGTCGAGGATCGTAATCTCGATTCGATGGATCGTTGTACAACATCACGGAAAAATTTTCCATGCTATCTGAATATCTGTTGATAACAACTGTTCTATAATTTTCATAACAAGATTTGAAGATGTATTTCTGAAATAGTAATTTATTTAAATTTGGTATCTACGTGATTTTGTAAATTAGAATAAATAAATTTTAATAATGTATCACCACAATTTCGGATAAAGTTGAAACTTTATTTTCCACATCTATTTTGTGCGTTTTTGATATTACGCTGCAGATAAACAATGTTGAGCACAATACTAACGAAGTAAATCTTTTTAGATTCATCTTGAAAGTTTAAATAAAGAAACTAAATTTTTCACATCTATTATTACTAGATATTTAATTGAAGCGCACTAAAGCGTAGATTGAATTCGAGCTTGAAAGATCTAACTCATTAAACTTGAATACGTTGTTATTTATTGCATTTGATTGACATTTATTTTGGACGTTCTACAAATAAATAACAGCTAAATGATAAATAATTATATTCATTATTTTTATCTGTATTTGTTGGGGGAGAGTTTGACTATTGTTCTGCGATGAGTTGATTTTTTTTGGGTGAACAAAATAAACAATAATAGAGTAAAGGTGTAAATATGATAGAATTGATATGAATTAAACAAAAAATTTTTTGAAATTTTTTTCAAATTAATTCATTAAATCAATGAGACTCAGGCTGTTAAATAGAACATTTTTTATTTAATTATATTGTTACATAATAAATATGAGTAAGCTAATATTCAATATATGCCATGTTTAATAATTATGTAAAGTTACATTTTTTTTTTTAATAGCACTGAAGATATTTTTTGTAATCACTATTAAACATTTAATTAATTATCTTTTTTTTTGACATGGAAAATAATTACTTTTTGCTTTTAACTTTTTTCTTAAATTTTAATTTGTTGTTTATACATTTGAATATTTTTTTTTGTTAAACAGATACAGTCCAATATATGTTTTTTGGATACATCAAAAGTCTCAATATAAAATTGAGATGGATGGATGCAAAGTCAATTTATTCGTGATGTGATGACCGCTTATATATATCATGAGCATGATAATATATGCCCTCTATATTCAGGCGTGCGCATATTAACTTCTAGTTTCAAAATAAAAGGAGATTAAACTTAATGTTATTCCAGCAACCCAAAAGAAGAAAACGAAAGACAGAGAATCTAAAGAAATTTGATTGAAACTCGTAACATAATCAGATGTTTGTAAATCAGATATAATACGTGCAAGATCGTTAGCTTCTGTTTTTGAGTTTAACCCATAACTGTCTATAGACATAAGAAATTTGTCAAATTTTTTTCTCAATGGCCAATCGGTAGGAATTATATAATCGCGAGGACGAGTTATTATCGGATATTTCGATAAGTGCAAACTTTTTAGCGTGTTTTTAGATAAATTATTATTCATTAACTCATGATAGAATGCGATGCAAACACTTGATGGGTCATTTATAACTTTTTTCATACATTCTCTATAATTACAGACTAGAATTTCATTTGGTTTTTCGATTTTAATATTTTCTTGTTCAAAAATATATGCTTCTACGTCACAAGTTATAACAATTTTCTGATAATAATTATTTCGTAAGTCCGATAGAGAATTAACGTTTTTTCGTAACTTTGTTTTTGATAAGCTATTCACAAGATCTCCTTTAAGTGTCAATTGCATTATCAAAAAGTAAATAAATAAATAAATGAAACACCAATCCACAAGCGAATTATTTTAAATGTGGCAAATGAACACGTTCGATTCAAATTTGTGAATAGAAGATCTAAATAGGTAATGATCGAAATTATGATTGTTCCTAGAATAAGTGAAAAGTCGAAAGATGTATGAATTTTTTCTAAGGGCGAGAGGTATCTTTGATTGCTTGATAAGATGTATAGACCTTCAAGGATTGTAGGATAGCTAATTCTTTCCATCCGATATGTTTTATTCCAATCGTTGTAGGTTACTGTGCACCACAAAACTTCTGGATGCTTCATTTTAAAATGTAAGTAATCAAAGATTAGGTGCAGACATGATATTTTAGTAATATTGACAGTAAAAAAATTCTCCATCACTCTGGTAATGTACTTTCCATTATGTAAAGCGTCCAATTTTGTAGATGAGATAGTAATGTTTATCTGGATGTTGTCAACATACTTGGTTAAATCAAAATTAAAACCCTTGCAGATATCGTCTGTAAGTGGTAAATAAATTATAACAAAGAGATGATGAAGATAATAAAAAATACAAAAAAAAAAATTAACTTGAATCAAGTAAAATATTCTTGAACCAAGAAAATAATTTTGAAAAATTTTAATGTCTTGAATCAAGATGAAAAATTTTTGAATCAAGTAAAATTTACTTAATAAATCGCGACCCAAATGCCAAAAGGGCGTATAAAAATTTTTTTTTCGCCATTCAACTTAGAACTGCTCAAAACGTAAAGATTTGTCAAAAAAAAACTTTTCAGTGTACTAATGCCAAAAAGGCTTATCTCAAGACATATGCCCTTTTGGCTTTAGAAAAAGATTAGTCTAAAGCCAAAAGGGCGTATAAAAAAACTTGCAATTTTGCTCTGAAATATAAAAATTAACTCTAAAAAATAAATCCAGATCATTTAATATTGTTGAATTTCGCGCCTCTAACTCAGCAACCATGTTAGTTATCGCAACTGTTTTTTTCTATTTTTCAATTAAAATTATAAACAGAATTTGTATTAAAATTGTAATAAGGTGAAAGAGCCAGTTATTGATACTGGCCTTGTTTGACAATTGCAATTTTATTTTAATTAAAAAAATTAAATGTTCTCAAAAAACCAATTTTCTTAAAATTAATAATTCAAAAATTAGATTTATTAATTTATTAGACTTGGTTTTTTTTTTTTTTTTTTTTAATTAAAATAAAATTGCAAGTGTCAATAACTAGGCCAGTGTCAATAACTGGGTTTTTTTTACCTTAATAACCTTTAAAAATACCTAAAATTAGTAACATAAATCACAATTCAAAGCAATCGGCAAAAAAAATTTTGTGTATGATTGTCATTTAAATTAACACGTATTCGTATTAAAAAAAAATTTACCTCTGTCATACTGCCGATTATAAATAGCCAGATAATAATATTTCTTCGACTATTTTCCATTGATCAGGAGCTCGACTTGAATACGGATTAAAAGTATAAATAAAAGGTTTTCCTTCAGAATCAAAACATATGTAGTAACAATTCAGTATTTTCATTCGCCAAATCATTTTTAAAGCAGTATTGGCGTGTTTGCAGCCATTATCCGAACCATTTATTATTATAAAATGAGACATATTTAGTTTTGTTTAATTCATCAGCCGAATTTTTAACAGTTGCGATAAATAAATCAATTTTTCCTTTACTATACATGACTGTATCATAATTTATATCATCCCAAAAACTCGGTACTAATAAATCATCTTGAAAATTAACAGCAACTGATTCTAAGTTGCCCAAGTGTCTACTTACACTTTCATCTATCCGATCGTTAATAACGGCAGCATGATAATCTTTTTTGCAAGATTTTATAATATGAACCTGAGAAAAAATTATTAAACCGCTAAATAAAATAAGTTCATACAATTTAAATAATACCTCTCTAAAAGTCAAAGTTTTTCATTGTAAATGCTCTTTGTTACTAATATAGAGAGTATAAAAATTTATTATTTACAGAAAGTAGTTAATACGCGACTTCAGCTTTAAAAATCTATGATCAATTACCAAATAATATGAAAACATTGATATGTTCTAATAAATTGTTAAAAAAGAAGTATAATAATTGGATAAGAACTATTAATTATAATTTATAATCCCACAAAAAACAGTTTCACTGTAAACCGTCGCGCCAAGTACACGTCCAACTATTGTTACAAACCTTGATAATTCAATTTTTACAAAAAATTATTAAATCGAAAAAAAAAAATCCAAGTACAAAAAATTTTGTAGATTAAAAAAAACGATACAGTTGTAATGGTTTTGTGGCTCCACCTACTGTCGTTTATTGAAATTCTAAACTAAAGACCAACTACTTATGGGCGCTAAGTTCAGTATTTAGTATACTAGCTATTTAAATGGTAGAATAACAGAGTTAAGTAGTGCCAACTTCGAAATAATAAAATTCGCCCTAAATTTGTAAAATCTCTCGTAGAATCGAAAACAGGCGCAAGTAAAAATTTTCAAACTCGCGATTAGTTAAATAATTGTTAAGACCCAACATTTTTTTGTAATATATGTATAATTGGTAAAAAAAATACTTATTAACAATGGTGTAAAGTGTTAGTGTCTTAGTAATAATAAAAAATATAGAGCTAAATATGTAAAGAGGTTATGTTGACATATGATTAGAGAATAAAGACACGTTGTCTCACGCTATATGTTGGACGTGTACTTGGCGCGAGACACTATCGTGTCTTCGGATTAAGGATAAGTTAAGTTTATAATTCTATTTTTGGCAACTAAATTACGATACACTTTTACCAGAAAATAAATAAATAAAATAAAAAACACTTTTGATGACTCACCAGAATTTTTGATAATTTAGTAAAATTATCTTCCGTTTTTACTTCAATCATTGCTGATGATATTAAGAAACAGGAAAAAGGTAAAAATAGTAGCAACAATCCTTGCATTTTCATAATTTAAAAAGTCATTACTATTAATTAGAATTGTTCTTTATTCTTCATTTGCGTTTCCAAAACGTGCTATTAGAAAAAGTTAATAATTACGTAAAAAAATTAATACATTAAACAATATAAAAAAAAAAAAAAACAATCGGCTTACCATATATTTAATGAATTTGTACCGTATGTTGAATTTTGTACATTCATACTAAAAGTTGAAATGATGAAACCAAGTCCGTCACACCTAATATCACCCCATTCTACGTAATTTAAGTCTTTGTTTTAGTGTGATGCACATGCGTGTACGTACGCTTAATTTATTTGTAGTGGACTAACTAAATAGTAAAGTAATAAAATGATGACAAGTCATCCCTATTAAAATTAAACATTAAATTTCAGCGCACATATGTGTTTTGAATTCAACGATAACGGAAATGAATACTTAGTAGAGCAGTCATACAATGATAACTCATTTTTGGAGATCTTTATCTCTATATGCGTGCTCTCAATTATTATCAATAAATAACAGTTAAATACCTTCAAAAATATAATCTGTGTTATTCATAGAAAGGCAATCTCTGAAAAATCGGAAGCGATTGTCTTACCGCCAGTATTAATTTTGCTTGAATAAATAATTAACATTATCATTGAATAATTAATTATAAATTATATTTTAGACATAATTATTGTAGATATACATTAAATAGTTCAGATTATTATTTATGGTTTATTATTATTATCATTAATTAATTAAGTCCATACAAGAATTTAATCAAAGTCCATTTAATATTTATTATTTCTAATAATATGAAAAAAATTACAGGTAGTTAGAAATAATAAATGACAAATTAAACCATCATGTTATATGTATGTATTTTTCAGAGCCTTATAAAGACTCAATAAAGAGTCGAAACGTCGCAATAATAACAATAACATGATGATTTAATTTGTCATTTATTATTTCCAACTACCTGCGATTTTTTTCATATTATTTTATGATTTTGGATGCGATACAAAATGGAAATTATTTCTAATAATTTAAGTATTCAATAGGTGACTTAAATAAGTATTTAATATTTTACAGCTAGATTTATCGATTATCGACAAATTTGGAGAGGATTTTCTTATTTTACTGGTCTAGATATGTAGATCCGGAGGCACGCGTATTTCCTCAGCCAAGTATACGCTGAACAATACTATTTTGCTTTTAACATTTTTCAAAAATTTCAGTATGTTGGTTACAAATTTAAATATTTCTTTCTTTGTTGCACAAATACAGTTCAATATATATTTTTTGGATATATCAAAAGTTTCGAAGAAAAAACAGATAAAACTTAATGTTATTCCAGCAAACCAAAAGAAGAAAACAAAAGACAGAGAATCTAAAGAAATTTGACTGAAACTCGTAACATATTCAGATGTTTGTAAATCAGACATAAGACGTGCACGATTGTTAGCTTCTGTTTTTAAGTTTAACCCATAACTTTCAATAGACATAAGAAGGTTGTCGAATTTTTTTTTCAATGGCCAGTCAAAAGGAGTTGCATATCTGCCAAGACGAGTGCTTATTGAATATTTAGACAAATGCAAACTTTTTAAAGCGTTTTTAGTAAAATTATTTTTCTGTAACTCTAACAATACATCATTATAATATGTAATGCAAATCTTTGATGGGTCTTTGATAACATTTTCTATACACGTAACGTTATCTTTACTATCAGCTTGTATCTTCGTCTTAAGAATGAGTTCGTCGTCAAAAACTGCTAAGGGTACCTGATCATTTAGAAAGATTTTCTGATAATAATTATTTCGTAAATCCGATAGATAATTTACGTTCTTTTCTAACTTTGTTTTAGATAAGCAATCTACAAGATCTCCTTGAATTGTCATTTGTATTACCAAAAAGTAAATAAATATGGAACTGAAGAATATTCGTAAAGATTGAGGGTTTATTTTGGTTTTTAAAGAAACACCGATCCATAAACGAATTATTTCAAATGTCGTAAATAAATAGCGTCGATTAGAATTTGTAAATAAAATTACTAAATAGGTAATGATGGTAATTATAATTGTTCCTAGAATTAGTGGAAAATCGAAGGAACTGTAAATTTTTTCTAGGGGCGAGAGGTATTTTTGATTGCTTGATAAAATATATAGACCTTCAATATTTGTAGGATAACTAGCTCTTAAAAATTCATCCTTCCATTTATCATGTTCAGTATATGTTGGACACAATAAAATGTCTAATTCGTCTTCCGCATGCAAATAAAAAAACCACCAATATTCTCGAGTATAACATAAAAAAGTCATATTAACGAGAGATAATTTGAAAACATTCTTCATTGCTGAAATAATGTACGATCCACCTTGAAGATTCTCCATCTGAGATGGAATACCAATTCTCATCAGGAATTTTTCAACATATTTGGTTCGATCAAAATAAAAATCCTTGCAGATACCATCTATAAGTAATAAATAAATGATAATAAAAGAAAAAAGAAAAAAAAAAAAAGAGGATTAAATAAAAATACGTTAATTTACCTCTGTCATACTGCCGATTATAAATAGCCAGATAATATGATGCATTTGATACTTCTTCGACTATTTTCCATTGATCAGGAGCTCGACTTGAATACGGATTAAAAGTATAAATAAAAGGTTTTCTTTTAAAATCAAAACATATGTAGTAACCATTCAGTATGTTCATTCGCCAAATCATTTTTAAAGCAGTAGAGGCGTGTTTGCAGCCATTATCCGACCCATTTATTATAAAATGAGGCATCATTATATCCCACCAACGAGAAAATTTAAGTTGATGCAACATTTTTTTTAATTCGTCAACCGAATTTTCAATAGTTGCGATAAATAAATCAATTTTTTCTTTACCATACGAGAAATCATCATCAAATATCGATACTAATAAATTATCTTGAAAATTAACAGCAATTGATTCTAAATTGCCCAAGTGTCTACTTACACTTTCATCTGTGCGTTTGTTAATGACAGCAGCGTGATAATCTTTTTCGCAAGATTTTATAATATGTACCTACAGAAAAAATGATCACAAATTAAAAGGAATATTAATTAACACTTTAATAACTCACCAGAATTTTTGATAGTTTAGAAAAATTATCTTCCTTTTTTTCTTCGATCATTGCCGACGATACTAAGAAACAAAAAACTAAAAATAGTAGACAAAATTCTTGCATTTTAATGATTCGAAAATTCATCATCATTAATAAGAATTATTCTTTATTCTTCATTTGCAAGTTTTTAAAGCGTTCCACTAGAAAAAATTATACTTAACACAATGTTTACGACAATATTCAACGAATTTAATGAAACAAAAACGACTTACTATTTATTTAATCTCAAAAATTCATTTTTGATCTTTATTTATTTTAATTTGATATTACTTCACAATTAATTAACTACAAAACAATAACATAAAGTTGATTTTAAAATTTTTATCCAATAATTGAAATTATAGGACCAAGTTCTAGACACCTTATGTCGGCCAGGATTACAATTCAATTGTTTCTACGCAGTGAGCATTCGTGTAAGCTTAATTGGTGCGTAACAAAGGTAAGTAAATATTTAAATGCTATGTTGATAAGGAATTTCTGTCATCATTATTATTATTTTTATTATTATTACAATTAAACATCAAAGTTCAGAGTACATTCGTATATTGAATTTGAACTTAACAAACATTAAGAAATAGAGCAGTAATGCAATGATAAGTCATTTTTGGAGATCTGTATCTTTATGTTTGCACTTAATTATTTTCAATAATTTACACACTTATTTTTTTTTTTTTTTACCAATACAGTTTGATAAATATTTTTTAAATCCATCAAAAGTTTCGATGAGAAAACATATAAAACTTAATGTTATTCCAGCAAACCAAAAGAAGAAAAAAGAAGATAAAGAATCTAGAGAAATTGGTTTGAAGCTCGCAACATATTCAGATGTTTGTAAATTAGATATAGTTCCTACAAATTTATTATTAGCTTCCATTTTGGTGTTCATTCCATAACTGTCTATAGCCATAAGGAAGTTGTTAAATTTTTTTTTCAATGTCCAATTAACAGGAATTATACAACCGCGAGGACGAGTTATTATCGGATATTTCGATAAGTGCAAACTTTTTAGCGTGTTTTCAGAAAATTTATTTTTAATTAATTCTGACCATAAAGTATTATAGTATGCGATGCAAACACTTGATGGGTCATTTATAACTTTTTCCACACACTCTCTATATTGATATCGTCTAGTGTCAAGTATTTTTGCAATTTCAATACTTTCGTGTTCAAAATCATATGTACTTACGTCATAAGTTCTAAAGATTTTCTGATAATAATTATTTCGTAAGTCCGATAGAGAATTAACGTTTTCTCTTACTTTTGATTTTGATAAGCGATCCACAAGATCTCCTTGAAGTGTCATATGCATCACCAAAAAATAAATAAATATAGAACTGAAGAATATTCGTGAAGGCTGAGAGTTCATTATGGTATTCAATGAAACACCAATCCACAAGCGAATTATTTCAAATGTGGAAAATGAACACGTTCGATTAAAATTCGCGAATAGAAGAACTACATAAGTAATGATCGAAATAATAATTGTTCCTAAAATTAGTGATAAGTCGAAGGATATATGGATTTTTTCTAAGGGTGATAAATATCTTTGATTGTTCGATAAGATGTATAGACCTTCACGGACTGTAATATAGCTAATTATTTCCCTCCAATATCTATCTAATGGGTAAGTGCACCACAAAACGTGTGTGCGGTTACTGTCAAAAGATATGGCATCATACATTGAGCCCGAACAAGCTGATATTTTAGTAATATTGACACTGAAAACATTCTTCATCACTTTAATAATGTGTTCTCCATTTTGTAAAGCTTCTAATTTTTCAGATGGGACATGTATGTTTATCGGACTTTTGTCAACATACTTGGTTACATCAAAATTAAAACCCTTGCAGATATCGTCTGTAAATGGTTAATGAATTATAACAAAGAGATCATGAAAAAAACAAAAAAATACAGAAAAAAAAATTAACTTGAATCAAGTAAAATTTATTTAAACCAAGAAAAATTTCTTAGTTTAAGAATTTTTTTACTCAAATCAAGAAGATAAAGTTCTTCAAAATTATTTACTTGATTTAAGTAAATTTTTTTTGTGTATGATTGCCATTTAAAATAATACATATTCGTATTAAAAAAAATTTACCTTTGTTATACTGCCGATTATAAGTAGCCAGATAATATGATGCATTTGATATTTCTTCGACTATTTTCCATTGATCAGGAGCTCGATTTGAATACGGATTAAAAGTATAAATAAAAGGTTTTCTTTTAAAATCAAAACATATGTAGTAACCATTCAGTATGTTCATTTGCCAAATTATGTTCAGAGCAGTAGAGGCGTGTTTGCAGCCATTATCCGACCCATTTATTATAAAATGAGGCATCATTATATCCCACCAACGAGAAAATTGAAGTTGATACAACATTTTTTTTAATTCGTCAACCGAATTTTTAACAGTTGCGATAAATAAATCAATTTTTCCTTTACTATGCATGACTGTATTAAAATTTATATTATCCCAAAAATTCGGTACTAATAAATCATCTTGAAAATTAACAGCAACTGATTCTAAGTTGCCCAAGTGCCTACTTACACTTTCATCTGTCCGGTTGTTAATGACAGCAGTGTGATAATCTTTTTTGCAAGATTTTATAATATGTACCTACAGAAAAAATGATCACACATTAAAAGGAATATTACTTAACACTTTAATAACTTACCAGAATTTTTGATAGCTTAGAAAAATTATCTTCCTTTTTTTCTTCGATCATTGCCGACGATACTAAGAAACAAAAAACTAAAAACAGTAGACAAAATTCTTGCATTTTAATGATTCGAAAATTCATCATCATTAATAAGAATTATTCTTTATTCTTCATTTGCAAGTTTTTAAAGCGTTCCACTAGAAAAAATTATACTTAACACAATGTTTACGACAATATTCAACGAATTTAATGAAACAAAAACGACTTACTATTTATTTAATCTCAAAAATTCATTTTTGATCTTTATTTATTTTAATTTGATATTACTTCACAATTAATTAACTACAAAACAATAACATAAAGTTGATTTAAAAATTTTTATCCAATAATTGAAATTATAGGACCAAGTTCTAGACACCTTATGTCGGCCAGGATTACAATTCAATTGTTTCTACGCAGTGAGCATTCGTGTAAGCTTAATTGGTGCGTAACAAAGGTAAGTAAATATTTAAATGCTATGTTGATAAGGAATTTCTGTCATCATTATTATTATTTTTATTATTATTACAATTAAACATCAAAGTTCAGAGTACATTCGTATATTGAATTTGAACTTAACAAACATTAAGAAATAGAGCAGTAATGCAATGATAAGTCATTTTTGGAGATCTGTATCTTTATGTTTGCACTTAATTATTTTCAATAATTTACACATTTATTTTTTTTTTCTTTACCAATACAGTTTGATATATATTTTTTAGATCTATCACAAGTTTCGATGAAAAAACATATGAAACTTAGTGTTATTCCAGCAAACCAAAAGAAGAAAAAGAAAGATAAAGAATCTAGAGAAATTGGTTTGAAGCTCGCAATATATTCAGAAGTTTGTAAGTTCGATATAATCCCCGCAAGTTTATTAGCTTCTGTTTTTGCATTTATTCCAGAACTATCTACAAACATAAGAAATTTATTAAACTTCATTTTTAATGGCCACTCAGCAGGTGTTAAATAATTCCTTACACGAGTGACTATTGAATATTTAGACAAATGCAAACTTTGTAAAGTTTTTTTAGCCAATTTTCTTCGCATTAACTCTGACATTAACGCATTAAAATAAGCGATGCAAACACTTGATGAATCTTTTATAACTCGTTCTACACACTTTCTATCAAACAAACTATATTTTCGTATTTTCGCCTTTACAATATTTTCGTGTTTAAAAACATCTCTGTCTACGTCATAAGTTTTGAATATTTTCTGATAATAATTATTCCGTAAATCCGATAGAGAATTTACGTTCTTTCCTAGCTTAGTTTTTGACAAACAATCCACAAAATCTCCTTGAAGTGTCATTTGCATTACCAAAAAGTAAATAAATATTAAGCTGAAAAAAATTCCTAGATGTAAAGAGTTTATTCTGGTGTTCAATGAAACTCCAATCCACAAGCGAATTATTTCAAAAGTCGTAAATGAGTAGCTTCGATTCGAATTTGTAAATAAAATTACTAAATAGGTAATGATAGAAACTATGATTGTTCCTAGAATTAGTGATAAGTCGAAGGATGTGTGGATTTTTTCTAAAGGCAAGAGGTATCTTTGATTGCTCGTTAAGATGTACAGGCCTTCAAGGCTTGCAGGATAGCTAGCTCTTAGCATCTCATATCTATTAAAATAGTCATCGGAGCTTATTGAGCACCACAAAACGCCTGTGAAATTTTCCATACGGTATAAGTACTGCAAATAAATTGACCTTTTACATCCAGTAGACATTTCTGTGAGAGAAATATTGAATACAGTCTTCATTGCTGCGATAATGTGCAATCCATCTTTATAGTCGTCTGATTTCCGAGAAGGGATTGTAATGTTTAGCTGAATTTTATCGACATGCTTAGTTCGATCAAAATTAAAACCTTTGCAGATTTTGGCTGTAAGCGGTAAATAAATAAACATATAGTGTTTTAAATTAATATATATATCTATACCCACACGGAAAAAAATTAACTTGAATTGAGTAAATAATATTGAAGAACTTCATCCTTTTGATTTAATTGGATTTTTCAGACTTCGGAACAAAAAAAATCCAAATTTCATGTCTTTTTGTCTTCAGACCACTAAAACTTTAATTCTACTAAATGTTTTTAGCTAAAAATTTAACTGTATACTCTTAAAATATGTATAAATAAATGGTAAAAAGTTCAAAGTTCTATCTCTTCATTGGTCCTTACAAAAAAATCCCAAAAAAATTCTCAAAAATCAGGGCGTCAAACCAGAAGACTCCCTTAAGCAAAAAAATTCTTAGATTAAGAAATTTTTCTTGGTTTCAATAAATTTTATTTAATTTAAGAATTTTTCGTCTTGATCCAAAACGATGAAACTCTTCATTATTATTTTCTTAATTCAAAAATTCAAGTTAATTTTTTTTTTCTAATAAAGAGAAAGAGAAAGAAAAGGAGAATTAAATAAAAATACGTCAAAATTTACCTTCGTCATACACTCGATTGTAAATTGCCATATAATATGACGCATTTGATACTTCTTCGACTATTTTCCATTGATCAGGAGCTCGACTTGAATACGGATTAAAAGTATAGATAAAAGGTTTTCCTTCAGAATCAAAACATATGTAGTAACAATTCAGTATGTTCATTTGCCAAATCATGTTCAGAGCAGTAGAGGCGTGTTTGCAGCCATTATCCGACCCATTTATTATAAAATGAGGCATCATTATATCCCACCAACGAGAAAATTTAAGTTGATGCAACATTTTTTTTAATTCGTCAACCGAATTTTCAATAGTTGCGATAAATAAATCAATTTTTCCTTTGCCCTTCGTGAAATCATCATCAAATATCGATACTAATAAATTATCTTGGAAATTAACAGCAACTGATTCTAAGTTGCCCAAGTGTCTACTTACACTTTTATCTGTCCGGTTGTTAATGACAGCAGCGTGATAATCTTTTTCGCAAGATTTTATAATATGTACCTACAGAAAAAATGATCACTCATTAAAATGAATTTTAATTAACACTTTAATAACTCACCAGAATTTTTGATAGTTTAGAAAAATTATCTTCCTTTTTTTCTTCGATCATTGCTGACGATACTAATAAATAAAAAACTAAAAACAGTAGACAAAATTCTTGCATTTTAATGATTTAAAAATTCATCATCATTAATAAGAATTATTCTTTATTCTTTATTTGCAAGTTTTTAAAGCGTTCCACTAGAAAAAATTATACTTAACACAATGCTTACGACAATATTCAACGAATTTAATGAAACAAAAATGACTTACCATTTATTTAATCTCAAAAATTCATTTTTGATCATTATTTATCCCAGTTTGATATTACTTCATAAATGATAAACATTTTATACAAAAATAACAACCGTGTCGATTTTTGTATACAGTAATACCAAAATTTGAATTAGTAGAACACATTTTTTAAATTTAATAATACTGAATTATTACTCTTATTTGATGCACTTGCGTGAATATGTTTCATTTATACGCAACGTTAGTAACTCGATTTAAATAATATTATGATGACTAGTATTACTATTACTAAATATTGAATTTAATAACACAGGCGTATATTAAATTATTATTGGAGATTTCTATCACTATGTTTGCTACAAACAAGCGTGTCGAAGTGTCAACAAAGTTTGTTTTGCTGATAAACAACCAAATATAAATCAAACTAAAAAGTGTTCTTCTCTCAATCAATCTATTCTCCGATTTTTCTTTCCCTTTCTTTTCTTCTTTTCTTCTTTAATCGATTTATTTTTAATAAATTAAAACACGATAATTTATTGAAGTTTATTCATAAATATTAGGCGTCGTATTAATTTTTTATTTATATTGTAAAAATTTTGATGAATTTCAAAATATTTCTATATTTAAAAATAAATCTTAATGTTATTTTAAAAAATTGTAATTAAAGTTAAACTATTGCTAAAAAAATAGTTTTAAAATTTAATTCATAAACAATTTTTATGATAACAACAATATTTATTACATAATCATCATCATTACAGTACAATAATATTAATAATAAAATTAATAATCATAAATATATGTTATATTTAATATAATGAACATATCTACTTATAAACCTTAAAATGACAATGAAATAAATAAAACATACACATTCTCATAATAATTATTTTATTAATTAATAAAATAACTATAATTAATCACTTTTTAAAGCATACGCAGCTCCCTTTTTTTTTTTTTTTAAAATACCATGATTATTATTTTAAATTATTAAATTTTTTATCAATTTTAAAAATAATTTACCGATCAAACGGTTAATGACTAATGAGTAATGATCAATGATCTGATTTATGATAAAGTAATCTTCATACCATGAATTTATAAAAATTTCAGTCGGTTTCTGATCGTCGCTTAAAAATACAGCAAGGCACTCTAGTTTTTTCTTTATAAATATCAATAAGAAGAGCGGGGTTAAATTATTTTCAATTTTAAAAAATTTTTAATCAAAAAATTTTTTAGTCTTGAAAAAATCATAAATTTAATTCATTAAAATTTTATTATAAAAAAAAAATAAGCAAACTTAAAACTTTAAAAAAAAAATTTTTTTTTTCAAAAAATTTTACCTCGCTCTTCCCGAGACTATTATTTATATATGATATATTTATAAACGATTATTTATATAATAAATAATCATTACATATATGATCAAGTGCATTTATGATCGAAGTGCCTGATTTAATGGTATTTAATTGCTATAAAAAATGACCTAGAAAAAATCATAGGTATTTTCCAATCACTGTACTCTTGAGCGACCATCAGTACCGATAAATTTCGACTCAATAATTATTAAAAAATGAATAACAATCAATTAAAAAATCAATAAATAAAAATAAAAAGTTATATGAGACTCTACCGTTTGTCTATCAATCTACTCTACAATTTTACACTCGGTAATTTAAACTACTAATACAAGTCGATCAACGACACACTCCCGACATAATATTAACCTTTGTCTCTAATGACTTTACTCGCTACTCTAATGACATGCGATATTATAATGATAATTAAATAAAAATAGTGATAATGACAATCGTTTAATGAGATGAGGTAAAAAAAACCAGAAGTAGTTTTTTTTAATAATTTTCCGCAATCATACGTTTGATAGTTATTAATGTTTAATATTTAATATTAATTATTCAGTACTCTATGTCATATTTTTGTTAGTTGAATATTTTTATTTTGAATTATTAGTTTTTTTTTTTTATTAAATGTCGACGTCGAGGACAGTGACGTCGATGGATCGAGAAAATAAATCGCAAAACTAAGTGATGAAAATTAATTAAAGGCACTCTATAGATATTTATTTAGTGAAGGTACATGCGTGCAGATACGTGTAATTAAATATTTTATTTTTATTAATTAAATATCTTTTTTTTTTTTTATTAATATTCTTCATCAATTTAATCTATATAAATACTTTAATAAAATACCCAAACAAAATAACCGACTTTTATATACACGAGTAGTGCCGTAATTTACACTGAGGTACTTATTGTGAGTAACATTAGTTTTAAGCTGGACGTAACAATTCTCGTAGAGGGTAAATAAAATTTAATGTGCATAAAAATAAATTTTTTTTTAGATTAAAGCGGGGGTGTTATGATAATGGCGGTTGCTTCGATTAATTTCGCTCGACGCCGCTGTCTTCGTGCTATTCTAACAATTGTAAAGCTTTTTATTTTTTTTAATTAGTATTATTTTTTTTTTTCTTTATTTGTAATACATTATTTATTAGTTATTAAGTAAATACAGTCGTAAGATAACTAACTACGGTTTATTTATGTTTAAGTACTAACAAAACCGAAATTATAAAATTTTTTTGATAAAATGATTATGTCAACTTTTCTTATTATTAATGATTTTTTTTTAAATAGTTATCGTCATTGCTATTTATAATCATTTATACGTTATTAATTATTAAATTTCATTAGTCAATTTTTTTTTAAACTTGAACAAAAATATTTTTTTATGAAAATATTGGAAGAAATTATACACTGTAATTTTTACATTTTTTTAAAATTATTTATAATAATAATTTTTTTAATTACCATATTATAAATTTAATTATTTTTAAAAAATAAAAATTTACTATGAATATTTTTTTAATGAAGATAATAAAAAAAAATTAATTATTTAATATTAATGACTGTAATTTTTAGAAATTTCTTCAATTATTTTTTAATTAAAAATTATTTATGAAAAATAAAAATTTTGCAATGAAAATTTATTTAAAATGAAAAAAATTAACAAAACAAAAAAACAATTAATTATTTAATATTAATGATTGTAATTTTTACAATTTTTTTTAATTATTTATAATAATAATTGAAAATTAATTTATTAAAAAATTTAATTAATTAAAAATTAATTATTATTAATATAATTATTTATAAAAAATAAAAATTAAAAATGAATATTTTTTTTAATGAAAATAAACATAAAAAAAGCAATTAATAATAATTTAATATTAATGACTTAATGATATTTAATAATTAATATATTTAGCATTCAATTACTGATGAATATGATAATTTGTAAAGCTGCAGAGATAAAAGCGTCTATCAAAGTAGTGCGAAGAAAATCGGTTGTTTTAATATTATTTTCTTATTCTTCTTCCTTACTTCGTCATACACATATTTTAAATATATTTTAAATACGATTCATGTATTTTTTATTGTATTGTTTTCAATGTTTGTATAGTTAACAACATTAATAGTGATAACGATTGCAACGTTGATAAAACCGCATATGCGTTTTTTTGACTTCAATGTTATTATTATAATGTAATTTTATTTTATTGTTTTAAATACTTCGTAATACATGTATTGTTTTAAGTAATATTGTCCGTTTTTTTATTTTTTATATTTTTGGTTTAAGAATTCGGACTTTATATACGAATTAATATATCAGTATCTGAGATACTCAATACCAGCTGTTTCAGTTTATTTCTCGGGAGCAAAAGGCTCGCATAAAAAAGGCCGACTTTAAATATTTTAGCATAATTCAAATATTTCTCAGAATTTATCAACTTAAAAAAAAGGAAACAGGTTTTTATGTTGATTTGAATAAAATAAAAACATATTTACACTTTTATAAAAAAAAAAAAAATAAAATAGTGATTGGAAAATAAAAAAAAAATATTATTTTTATTATTAATTATTATTGTTTATTATAATGATTTTTATAATGTTAAACAGCGTAAACAGATTGAATAGGCCCATTTGGTTTGTTAATTATTTTTTTTTCTTATTTTATTATTTTTTTAATATTTTTCAATTTTGACAGGGAATTTGCATTTAGTTTTTTTTTTTTAACAATTATATTTATTACATTTTTTGTAGTATATGAATATAGTAATTAATAATTTATATGTATATAGTAACTACTCCCAAAATAAAGAAAAACCTCAAAATTAATCCTCCATTTTGTTCCAGCGATTAAAAAAAAAATAAACGCCATTTTTACGGCGAAAAAAAATTATTGAATAATTATAATATACATACAAATATTAATATAATTACTGTTTTATTATAAATTTAAATATCAGGGACCTTTCGCGTCTCGAAGCTACGGGATTAAATGTTTTAATTTTCAAAATTGGTCTTTTATAGGTTATAGTTACAAGTTACAAGTTATCGTTGTTTGTTATTCCTCATACATATTTTTTAAAACATGTATTATTAATAAATAGTTACAATAATTTTAAGCATCTCATTATATGTACCATCAGCTAAAATTACAAATAAATAAATTACTTATAATAGATACAAATAATTAGATTTTTAAATTCTGCTTCGAAAACGCGAACGACCAATACAATAAATATTAATGTAATAATAATAATAATTAAAGTCTAATTAAATATTAATAATAATATTGTTTATTATTGTAGCGTACGAAGACATTGTATACAAGAGTACAATTTTTAATTATTTTATTAATAATAATATTACAATAATAATTAATTATAATTCTACTCTTGAAAACAAATAAATCTGTACGATTTTTTTTTAACAATAAATCTACAATATATACTCAATGCATTCTCATTAACGCTTTAAATCGATCAATTAACAGTTAAATAAAAATTATAATCTTTAAAAATAAAAATGTGCGGGGATTTTTTTTTTTAAATATACATATATATGTAATTTAACAATTTATCAATTAATTCAGCATCAAAGATCTCATATGACTCTACAGAAAAAACGTATAATAGATAATATATTATTGTTGTATATATTATATATTATATTTAATATATATATATATATGTATATATATATATATTTATTTATATATATATATATGTGTATATACAAGATACTACACTCCATCAGAATATAGTTTAACGCTATTATTTATTAGATGGTAATTTTTCTGATTTTTTTTTTCTGTTAACTCTTTTGTAAATTAATCGTTATCTACTGGGTTATTTTTTTTAGAGCTTTGTTTTTTATTTATTGTTTAGTTTTTTTTTTTAGATGAAGCGAATTTACGCCTGAAAAAAAATTATTGGTTTATTCTTTATATTTTTAAGTTAATCCTCTGCACATGCTACGGATAATTATTTATCTCAAAATATTTTTGTTATATTTGTTCTTTAAAATTTTTAAGAGGTTAATCTTCTCTGTACAGAGGATTAGAGTAAATTTAATTAATACAGTGGATTCTCTATAACTCGAACTTCAAGGGAAGTGATAAAAACTTCGAGTTAACGAATTTTCGACCTAACAACATGTTCAAAATTTGCAAGTAAATAACTTAGAGAGAAAATATATATATTACAAACAAGAATATAAGAAGCATTAAATATTTCTATAGGAATTTAGATTTGATTGCTATAAGCTTGGACAATTCGGAGAAAAACGTATTCATATTTTACTAACTTCGACTTATAGAGTTTTACTTTCAAAATTCGAGTTATAGAGTATAATTATCCCTTACATTGACCTACCAGTTTTTTTATCTGATTAAAAATCGAATTTTGACAAAATTTTGGATAAAATTCAACTTTGTTTTTTTAAACCGCCGCCATTCTGCCAATTTTTGACATTTTTCTTCGGCCTTAAGTCATTGTACGGACAATATTTTCTAGTTCAACGAGAATTTTTTTTTTGTTGAAAAATATTTAATTTTTTTCTTCAAAAATTTTACTGTGTATTTTTAAAATATGTATAAATGTACCCTTAAAATTTTAAAACAATTGATACATTAGTTTTTTTTTTTAATTCCCAAAAATAGCCTTTTTTTAGGCTGTCACACTAGGTGTGTCCCTTAACAAGGTTCAAGTTACCGAGAATCCACTGTAAATGAATTAGAACTACAGTGGAGTCTAATTAAAATAATTGTAAAAAAATTTACCTTTTTTTTTCTTTAATATTGTTTTTGGTTTTAATTTTCTTAGTCTTTCTTATCACCATCCTCTGGATCCTTGAGCGTATGCCACTGGGCAATTGGTCGTCTTGGTGATGCTAACATGTCTGACCAATGTCTTAATTCAGTACCACTTGCATTGTAGCCAAGAATACATTTTCCAATTGGTTCTGATGTACCAATACGATCATAATCTACCACTGTTACTACTAGATTAACTTTCTGTGAAAAAAGAAATAAATTTTGTTAAGATTATCTAAAAAAAAAAAAAAATAAAAAAAAAGTTTCTAACAAACATAGAAAGATTTTTAACTTCCCACCGTGAAAATTAATAATTTAATTTTCAAAAGTAGGAAGTCATAGATTTCGGTCCGATTTTGAGAATGCGAGTTTTCATCAGATCTAAAATTTATAGCAAAAAATTTCCTAGTAATCATTTTTTTTAGATAACTATAAAATTCTTCACAGAAAGAAAAATTTTCAGATGCCTGAAGAAAGACCGAAGTTGTGGCGGCCGAAGTAAAAATTTTTCTTTAAATTCTATTCTTGGTAAAAGTCATTTTTTCTTAATTAAAATTATCATAAATACTTGATACAATAAATTTTTATATTTTATCAAGATTTTTAAATACTTTAGGAAAGCAGCGCTACCTACTTCAGCTGAGAAAAAAATTTTCTCACCTTGAGAAAATTTTTTTCTTGAATATTTGATACTTATTTTATATTATTTTAGCGTGCAATTATACAAATTGAATGAAAAAAAATGATGAAATATTATTTGATCTTACCATTTGACATGTTAATCAAAAAAAATATTAATAAAAATTTACTTCTATCTTCATATTGCATTTTTTGGAGCAAGAGAGAAATTTTCTGAAGACAAGAAAATTTTCTTCTATCAAAAACTAAATTTTTTGGGGCAGGAGGCTGAATTTACTCGTATTAATTAAAGCAAGAGAATTAACTTTGTTGGAATAAGTGAAATTTTTTGGGTCAAAAAAAAATTTTTTTTTCGCGTAAGAAAATAATTAGAACTCAAGACCTGATAAAAATTTTTTGTGCTCAAAAAATAGCGCCGATTAAGTCAAAATCGAACCAAGTGTTCAAAAGTTATGGCCATTTAAAAATTGCTCAATAATTTTTTCTTTCGCTATAACTTTTGAATTTTTTGAGCTTGAGGAGCTCAAAAATCAACTAGTAGGAAGATTTTTGAGTTCAGAGAAGTGGGAAGTTCCAGAAATGGCCTACAGGTCAACCGCCTTTCAGATTTTTTATTGAAATGCGTACTTGTATCTGCTCAAACGGAACTTCAAATGTAAAGGATTCGTTATAATAAGGATTCAATGTGCATTTCTTGATAGAAGTTTTCTTCTTCTTCAGCCGCTTTCCATTTTGCATAAGCGCTATTTTAACATACGGATCTGAGAGACCGCCGACATCCATCTTCTTCAGATTCTTGGCCTCCAGAATTACGACTGTTAATTTTCCAGCTGTCGGTACGTAACGGAGAGAGAAGCATATGTCACCAAGTTTGTTGTCCTACAAACGAGTTATTTATTATTACTATTGCTATTGAGATAAATAATTGAATAAGTAAGCGCAGCAAGACATTCAATGTAAATATAAATTCAAAAGCAAGGTAAATTGCGACAGATAGACCTAATAAAAGAATTACTCACTTGTCCGCCTTCTCCTTCAACGCTCTGTAGCTCTCTCCACTCCTCGATCGTTTGAGCTAAGTCTATTTGGCAAAGCGGTACTTTGACTTCTCCTATTTGGTCGTGTTTTGAGAATCTGTCGAAGTCGAAGATTGCAAACACTAGGGTCTTGTTCATTGCATCGGCGTACGGAACACTCTTTAATAAAAATTAAATTACAAATTAATACTTTTTTACAAATAATATTCTTTTTAAAAGCTAAATTGTGAGCTTTATATTTTTTGGGCAAATCTTTTCGGGAAATTAACTCTTGTTCTGGGTCACTCTCACAAACACGTTTTGGGAATTTAATTTAAATTTTTCAGGCAATTCAACAGCCAAAAAAATCACCGGTAGTTTATAGTTTATTGGGTGAAAAATTCGAGGGCTGTTACAGTATAAATTTTGTGAAGTATTTACGGATAATGCCTTTAATATTATTTGTAATTTATGCTTCTATTGATCGCAAGAAATTTTACGGGGGTGTTACACAATGTAAAACTTTATACTAATAGAAGAATTTATTAATTATTAATAAACTCGTTTGTTGGGACATAATTTATTTACATATTTAATAAAATTATATTTATTAATAGTAATGAATAATAAATAATAAACAAATAATTTTTTATAGTAAAAATATACTAATAATTTTCACCAGAAAAAAAAGTTTTGTGTAATTAAAATTATTTTTTTAATGTTAATTTTATTTAATATATATTTTTTTAGAAATTATTAATGTAACTAAATTATAAAATATTTTAAAGTGGAATTTTTATTCAAGAGTCTAAAAATATATTTATTAATAATTAATAAATATTAACAAATTCTTCTATCAGTGCAGATAATATTAAAAAAAATTATAATTTAAAAAAAAAATAAAATTATTGATAAAGTAGAACTTCGTTTGTATCCATTTATTGTTTAAATAAACGATAGAAATTAATTTATATTAATAAATCATTACAAACTCAATTTTTTTAATATAATTTTTTTAAAACTCGACAAAAATATGGTTAGTTAATATTTGAATTAATTTATAAAAAATTATAACCATATTTTTGAGTTTTAAAAAATTGATATTAAAAAAAATTGAGTTTGTAATGGTTTATTAATAAAAATTAATTTCTATCGTTTATTTAAATAATAATTGGCCAAAAGTGGTCTAATGTTTTTTTTTTTAACTCTTCCAAAAAAATTTAAATTATAATTAAATCAAACTAAAATTAACTCCAATCAAAATCTCTCTCTGAGTAAAAGCAAATACACAATAACTTAAATGAAGTAATTAGGTAAAATTTACCTTAAATGTAAACGTTTCATTAAATTCAGGACTCAAAGTTTTCCTGTGAACTTTGGTCTCAAACTTCTTCTTCTTATCCGGAAGTAAGTAAACTTTAACATAGGGATCTGAAGTTCCGCCCATATCTAGAGCAGGCAGGTCCTCGGCCCGGATCACCGTCACCGCCAAGCTGTTTGAATTAAAGTCGTATTCGAGCTGGAAAAAATCTCAGGCGTTAACAAAATAAATTCGAGAAATATGACCTACAAAATTATTATTATATCACAATTTAAAAAAAAAAAGACATATTAACTACAAAGGTCCTTAACAAATACATGACTCGTAGAATAGGTGTATACTGGTGCTCAAACTCATACGGATTAAAATTCATGAGTGTACCTTGTATTGTAGTCTTCCAAGTTTGACCTCGCTCTGTTTGCTCTCCGCCTCATCTGGCTCTTCAGCGTTGTCCGTAAGTTCTTCCATATCCGGCTGTACCTGCGCAAATGCAATTGGATTCCACCGAGGGTAAATTGGATTCTCTAATGACTAATTCAAAGCATGGAAACCCGAATAACAAACCTTATCCTTGTACGTTCCTCCCAAGAGCTGAACGCCTTTCAGGTCTACTGCACCCTTAAGACCTTTTTTTCCGTCCTTTGACCGGCGTTTGCGGAAACATCTTCTTATACAGCAGAAGCAGACCCCCAGGACTATTGCTCCCACCGCTGGTAATTTTTAATTTTTCATTAATTTTCCACTTTACTTTAAATTCAATATCAGCTAGCTTTTTGTAATTAAAATTGTAAGTATTCATCGTTTTAATTATAAATATAACAAGGATAAAAAACATTACCAATTAAAATGGCTACTAAGCCCCATGTTGGAATTCCCGTAGCTGCTGTTATTTCTTTTCCGACATTTTCTATCTTTGTTTCGATTTTAGCTGCCGTTGATTCTGTTGGAGCTTCCGAAAACGTTTCTGAAAAGCATTTGAGTATTAATTAATAATTTTTTATCCAGAGTTAAAATATTTTATGGTATATTTACAAAAAATTACTGTCAAATTTATTTATATAAATTTTTAAATATTACATATTGGTATTCAGTTCATATTCATAAAGATAAATTACGCATAGTAAAAAATTTTTCGTCAAATTTAACACAAAAATTTATGTTGATGACTTTTTTTTACACAATTTGTGTTGAATCAACACTCTATTGTGTTAAATCAACATACTAAAATGTTAAATTCTACATACTAAAATGTTAAATTCTATACAAAAATTTTTACACTTTACACAATGACGAAAAATTTTTTACTGTGCAGCTGCCCAATTTTAAAACACAGTAATTGTAAAATTTTTATACCTGATTTTTTTTTTAATATTGCTGCATTTCTTATAATTTTTAGACCTTAATTTCTAGTAAATTTTCTTAAAAATATTTATAATAAAAATCCTATTATTTTTTCCAAGTCCAAAAAAATTTTTAGTTTGAAGAAAAATTTTTTTTTGCATTTCTGCCCATTTCCCAAAAAAATACATCGATTCTCAAAAAAAATTTTTTTTTTTGGAAATCAACGTATTTTTGTATGAAACGTGCAAAAATGAAAAAAAAAATTTTTCTCCAAACTAAAAATTATTTTTAGACTTAGAAAAAAAATAGTATTTTTATTATACGCTCATATGGCTCCCAGGTGCCATTAAAATAAAAAAACTCGGGAAAAAAAATTTATATTAATTTTAAATGTCTTTTTTTTTTTTTTTTAATGCAAAATTAACATTTTTTTTTATTGCTTTTTTTCACGTAAATATTTACTATAGTTACCAGTAATAAATTCTTCGCTAGATGCGACTATCCTAAGTGTTGTACTGGGCATTGCTAATGCTGGGTTTTGTGTGTTGATTGGAGCCTCAGCAGCCAAGCTTTCGGCTACGTTAGCCGATTCTTTACTCGATGGCGGCATTTTCTAAAAATTAAAAAATTAATTTTACTCTTTAAAACACAAATATCCATTTGATTTACAATGATTTGACAGTTTGAAAGTTTTATGATAAAAAATATAACAAAAAAAATTATGAAGGCTATAAAGTTGAAAAGTAATTAAAATTTTTTTTTTTTATCGAGTCTAACTTTGATCATTTTCCTTTGCGTTATTATTCATTTTATTGATTTTATTTTTATTCATTAATATTCAACACAATATTCGAGTTTGTAATTTGAAAATTGAAATTAACTTTAATAATTCAACGAAGTTTTAATTGAATAAATTAATTCAATCCAAGGATTATTTTTTCCAGTTGAAATATTTGATTATTCAATAAATTTCATGTCGGAATTTAGTAGCTGTCAATTTTTTAATTTAAAAAGAAAAATTATTGAAATTCGGGCAATCACTTGAAAATTATTGGACGGATTAATCAACTGTAAGTTGATTAGAGCTGTCGATTGCAATATAACCATTCAAATTGCTCAATTAGCTCTATTGTTGAAAATAGAGCTCAATTTTCTTATTGAAAAATAATTATTAAAATTTAATAAAAAAGTAATTTTTATCAAGTAAATTTAATGAATACCTTTAGAATAAATTTATTTTATTCATTCTATTTATTGTTCAAAGAAAATAAATCAATAAACTCACAGATGCATAATAATAAAAAGCGTGATAAAAGATGACAGTAAAACGGATTAAATTCAATGATTGAAAAAAAATTTAATTATTTCTTTTTTTTTTTTAAATAAAAATTATTATTACTTCTAAAAAAAAATTATAAAATACTACAAATTAAGTTACCTATACTTGTGAAATGCAATTGAGCAATGAAGATTTTATTTTCAATTACATTTTATCCATCGCGAGGACGATAAATTTATTGTCAACTAAAACCAATCGCTCCACAGTTAACAGTAATATTTTTCAATAAAGTCACACTTTCACTGTACTTACTCGAGAAAATTGACTGATATATAGCTCTAAAAAAATATATATATATATATAATAAATTTTATAACAACGAACTGCAAGTAAGAAGCATTGAAGAGAATAAGTGGAATCGTGATTGTCGAAGGAAACTTTGAGCATTCTATTTGCTCTCATATCGGTACCGACCTTGGACCCCCCCGCAAAACACTTTACAGTGCTCACACTCACATTCACACTCGACCACACAATATTACAAGTACAATCGTAGTCCTCTCAACTGTCAAACGCGATAAAGTGACATCTGAATTATTTTAATTGTTCCGCGAGTGATAAAACTCTAATTTTTATCTCCTTTGTTTCCTTTATTTTCATTCAACCATTGAAAATTTTTTTTTCATAATTATTTCTGTTCTGGTACACAGAAAAATAAAGATTTAACTGGCTTCCATCGAGGATGGAACCTAGTTCCATCCAAAAAATTTACAGCGGAGTCAGAATAATGAACCTAAAGGACAATTTTTAATTAATTTGATCGATATTTTTATCTGTAAATATTTATTTATATTTTTAACTAAAAAATTATTGATAAAAAAAATTTTTAATTTAATTTGTAAATTAAATAATTTCAAATTAATGAGTATATTATATTATTATTAAATAGATACATTAAATTTAAGAGCATAAAAAAGCTCTAATAAAAAATTGTAATAATTTAAATAATTATGTTTTGATTAAAAATTAATTTAATTGAAAGGATTTTATTAAATCAATTTCATTTTTAATAATTTGTTTATATAAATAAACTATTAAAAATTGTCCTGTAGGCTAATCTAGGTTCGAAATTTTAACTGTGGGATGGTAACTACTTTTATGTAGATTGTAGTGGGTATAATCTACATAGAAGTAGTTACAATCTGTAAATTTTTACACTATAGATGGAAAACAGTTAAATCTTGTTTTTTCCGTGTATGATTTATAAAAAAAAAAAAAACTTCTTCGTTTGGTTGAAAAAATAAAACTTTTAATTGTAAATTTTAAAAATTTACCCGGTACTCCATATGAATACTCGCGACACAAATACACACCTCGAGCGATGTATGATAAAAATTTTTCTAAAGCCCAGAGATATGGATTCGCGAACACACATGTCAAAGAAAAAATAATAATGATAAAAAAACTCGACCGCCCGGAATTCGCTATGCAGGTCACCGCAGAGCAAAGCACAGGGCACAGGTGAGCTTTCAGTCTCGAGAACTCCAACCGGAATAGAAATGAGAGATGAAAAAATAAAATGACGGATAAGTCTTACAGGAAATGAATATTAACTCTATAATCATAATCCGGGCATCTTTCATCTTCAATCTTTCGGATAACAGCTCTTAAACTTTTCCTATAAGTATTCTAATCCCCGGAAATTGAGACTAATTTAAAATTAATATTATTTCAATAATTTGTTAAAAAATATTAATACTTTTTTTTTAAGTTGAATAATTAAACAATTTTTCAATTGAAATAGATCAACTGCTTGTTTAAATAGATTGAACTTTTTCACTTGACCTTTAACTGAAAATTCTCTCCCACGTATTTTATCTCAAGTTTCTTAAATTCGTATTTTTATCTTTTATTTCCAATTTGCTTTTATCGCACAAAAGGAATTTTTTCAACAACACATTTTTTTATCTACGGGCTGGATAAAACTCCCGATTTATTTCGTTAAGTTTACAACCTCTCGGTAATTTTATTTTCAATTTACTGAGTGCTTTATTGCGGTAATTAATGAGAGTTCTTTTTTTTTTGCGTGAAAAATCACGAGTTTTATAAAACTTTACAATCAGAGAAAATATTTTTAAACTAGTACTGTTAAAAAATAAAAATAAAATGACGTTTTTTTTTTTTTAATTATGTTGCTTAAAATTCTATAAATATTCTCGGTTGCATTAAAAATAAATATGACACTAAAGTAAACACTCACTTAATAATTATTTTTTTAAATTTCTACTTGTCAATTTTTTTTACCATAATTTATCTGTTAAAAAAATTATTAAATATCTGCTAAATTAATATTCATAAAATAAATGAGATATTAAAAATCAATAACACAAATATTGTCTAAAAAAAGTAGTACAAATTTTTTTAGAGCCGGCAAAAGTTACCTGTCAATTAATAATGTCGCATAAGTTGTTTTCAAACGGATCAATATTTTTAATTAATTGTCTGGGTCCCTGTTTATTGACAGCTGTTTATGTTAGTAATAATTAAATACCAGGGGAAATAATATTTACATTTTTGTGAGGTTATTATCAAAAGGATATAATCCATAAAACATTTGGTCAACATTTAGATACCGCAGGTATTTGCTGAATAAGTAAACTAGCGACATTTAAAATAGTTATCAAAACAAGAATCACTAACTAACCCAATGAATATTTAAAATCGGTAATTTATAATCTAAACATTAAATTAACTTTGTCGGATTTTCGATAAATTAAACTTCCTGAATTGATATAATTCTCTCGCGGAGTTTATTCCATTGGGATTAATACATAATAGCTCTTGACATTTAATTTAACTAAAACTTTGGATACTAACGAAATTTTCGTTATTTTAATTTTTTTTAATTGAAAATTTATCTTTGTATTAAAGAAAATAAATAATAAATGTCTTGGTTAAAATTTTGTGAATGTTGAAAGAATTTAAGTTAGTCGAGAAGTTTAAAGAGATTCAGGAAAGTCTTAATCGGTCTTAGAAGTTTTGAAAGTTCGAAAATTGGATGTTGTAGTTTAGAAAATTGGAAGGCACTTAACTGAGAGTATTATCGAATACTCGACAAGTTCTAAGATCATGCTAAAAAATTCAGAGTCTTGATCATTTATTATGGAAATAAAATAATGATAATGAGAAAAATTTTTAATCTTTTAAAATCTTTTAAAGATTTCCTATAAGAAAAAGTCTCTCATTATTTTTTTTATAATTTAAACATTTCATCTTAAAATAGTGTGTAATTGCATCGCATATAGGTAATTTTTAGTTTGTAATTATTTACTCAAATTTTTTTGAAAATAATAATGATAATCTATATAATAAAAGAATAAGTAAAATTTTGTGGCCAGTATATTTATATGATAAAATGGGTTTTTATGGTTAAATGTAGTATCATTAGGAAGGTCTTGACCCTGTATCTCGTGAACTATTGACATTTTTAAAGATATAAGCTCATCCCGATGTCACACTTATCGAGACCTTTCATTTGAGTACCCACATCAATTTTTCATATATTTTATATATTTATATATTTTAGAAATACCATATATATAAAATATATAAAAAATGCCATGTGGGTAGTCAAATGAAAGTTTTCGATGAGTGTAACATCGGGATGAGCTTACATCCTTAAAAATATCAATAATTATGAAATGACCTTGTATATTGTGATCTATTGACATTTTTTAAGATATAAGCTCATCCCGATATTACATTCCTCAAGACCTTTCATTTGAGTACCCACATTAATTTTTCATATATTTATATATATTATATATATGTATATATGAAAAATATATGAAAATGCATGTGGGTACTCAAATGAAGGCTCTGGATGAGTGTAACATCGGGATGAGCTTATATCTTTAAAAATGCCAAGAGTTAACAAAATACAGTGTAATTTAACAAAAGTCATTAATTTAATGAAGCAAAATTTTATTTATTTATAGTTCATAAGCCCCGGCAGTCACATAGTGACTGCAAAGTTGCTAATAATAATAATAATATTGTATAATTTACGATAGTTGGCAGTAAAATTTGCCAACTCAACTAAAAGACTAAAAAAAAAAAAAGTATCAAAGAAGTTGGATTTATTTCGTGACTATGGAAATGTATGATGAAAAAAAAATATTGATAAAAAAAGTCTATATATATATATATATATATATATATATATATATATATATAAAACCATGATTGACGATAAGAAGCTTCGTAAAAAAAAGTAAGGCTGAAAACGTGAGCTTTCCAAGTTGAGAACTATATAATTTAAACATTTATCAGATTTTT